CGGCAACACCGGAGGCATCTTGTGAATGTGAAACCTGAGGTGCTCCAACCGGCTGATGGGTTCCTGGAGGAACTGTGCCTTGACTTGAGGCTTTAGCCGCGCTTGTTTCCGTAGCTGTTTCGGCTATTGATGCGGCTTTTGGCGGGGACTCTTGCATCGGAACAGGGGTCGCACGAGCTTGTTGGGTGAGCTGCGCAACAACACGTTCGAGATCACCAAGTCGTTGATGCATCACAGAATTTTCCTGAGACAATCCACGAATGGTATGCTCTTGACTGGCAATGGTTTGCTCCCTTTGTAGGATTGCCTGTTGAGCCTCTTGAACAATGCGTTGAACCTCTTGCTGAGCGTCCTGTTGAGTGGCATTAACAACCTGTCGTGCGTTCTCGACATGGCCTAAGGCTTCCTGTCGTGTCTGCTCAATGAGTTGCCTAGCCTGAGCCTCACTTTGTTGTGCTGTTTGAACAGCCTGCTGTGCTTGTGAAGCTAGCTGAGCGGCCTGAACCCTAACGTCTGAAACTTCTCTTACAGCCCTTTCCCTGATCCATCCGGCCTCTTGTCTCGCCTGATCGGCGGCCTGCTGTTGATGCAAGGCGTGATTGGCTGCCTGGGCAGCGAGGTCGGATGCTCGATGAGCTTGCTGCACCGCAGCTCCAGCTATAAATGCCGCAGCGGGTACGTTAGTCATCGGGTCAGGTAATTGCGATCCCTGTGAAGGAAACTGAATGGCTGGGGAAGCTTCGGATGATGTCGGTTCTGACACGATCGGACCACTCGGGGGTGATGATGGTCGTGTTTGGGCTGCTCTTTGAGGTGTGGATGTGCGAACTGTGGACATAACTGCAGGAACCATGGCTAGGTCAGGGTCGTCCGGTTCGGAATCCCTATTTGGGGTTGACCTTGAACGGGGTTCTGATGGCGGTGACAAACCCGTTGAAGCCATGACACAGCAATGCAACTTTTGCACTCACACGAAGCTAGCTCCACGCGCTTTGAGCAGCGTGTCAAAAGGTGCTACGAGGAGATATCCCTGGATTGGCAGCTGATTGCGACACGCTCAAGTGAGCCACTCAAGAAAATACGTTGCGAAACGCTCAAGTGAGCCACTCAAGAAAATGCGCCCTGCTGCTTTGCACCTGATGAATTCTGTATTTGTAATTGTACTTGTAGATTGATTGATCCGCACTGCCGCACTATGGTGCTTTATCGAGGGATGTTGCCAAGCTGTATTGAGAATTTGTCTGCAAATCGAAGGCTTGTAATTGCAAAAGCTGTACCGCGCAAAGCGACGGTTTTAACGGCTTGCAGCAATGGCTATCGAAGTACCCGGCTGGCGGGCAGCTGGGATGCAGATCGGTGGATCTCCTCGAGGTACTGCGATGGATGCAGGCCCCTTGCCGCCGGAATGGATTGTCTGTTCCGGGACTCGATGAACTCACCAAGGTTCTCAAGCGCGTTGGCAAATCCGCTCGGACCGAAGTGCGGAAAGTTGCGGAACGCCGCGATGCCTGTCTTTTGAGCTTCACGGACAATCGATGCTGTATCGTCAATAAGGGCGTGTACGCCCAGCCCTTGCAGGGCGTCTGCTTTGCCTCCCCTTCCCAACCGTTCGTGAACGATTTTTATCGTAGAAAAAGTGAGTCCAGATGTTGTCCGCGCGTGCTCCAGGGCGACCTGAAATTCGCGGCGGCGATACTCGCTTGCAGCCCTGCCTACGAAGGATAGCACTATAAAATTTATAGGTGCGTAGTCCGCGGCAAACTGAACGAGATGTCGGATCACTTCCGGGTTGAGGTGGGGTCCCTGCTGCCCAACGTCAAGAACTCCGTGCCAGTCAAGAGCAACAACAAGCTCCTTGGGCGGCACCGGCCTTCCAGGCGGAGGTGGCGGCGGCGGGGGCGCAGGCGGTGCCCTCCTTGGTGGCGAGCGGAATCGCGTGCCAGCTTCAGGAGTTGCAGCGCTAGCAGCAGCTGCTTGAACGACCTGCGGAGGTGGCGGCTTGACGATGTACCCGAATTGTGGCGGGTTTGAGCTCGATTTGCTTCTGGGTTCGGCCTTGTTCAAGCCTCGCGGAGGTGCCTTGTACCCGAATGCACTCTGAGTCCGAACCGGAGATCTGGCCCTTGGCGGTGACTTCCTCGGGATGTCTGCCTTTGCAGGCGCTGGAGAAACTGCCTTGGGGACCTCCTTGGGCAACGGTGGCTTGCTGCCGAAGATGACCTTGGGAGCGGCCTTTGGGGGCGGCGGTTGAACTGCCCCGATTCTTCGGCTGTGAAGCGCGATGGGCTCGGAGTGAGTCGGCGCCTCGTAAACGCGCCGAGGCACGTATGCTGACCTGCCCGTCCTGATGGACTCCAAGTTTTGCGGTGGGTCCTCGTCCGAGCTGTAGGCGTCGAGGCGGAAGGTTTCCGCAGGCGCCGGGCGGCGGTCAGGAGACCGTGAGCGTGAGCTCGTGGAGGACCTCCTTGGCGGGTCCCTCCACGTCTCGTCAGCGAGGAGGTAAGGATCGGCTTGGCGAAGCTGCCCAGACGTCCGTTGCGCTCGCCGACGAGGAGCCGCTTCACGTGGTTGTGATGCCTCCCGCACCAATACCCAGGTACCGTGTTCGTCAAACCTCGTCACAGGGTAAATGCTATTCTGTGGAGCCAAAACGATGGGCCGAGTGGCTAGGGAAGTTCTGGATGGCCTTCCCTCCCGCGCAAGCGCGGGTTCAACACTATGGGCCCGTGGTTCCACAGGGGCAGCAGCAGTTGGTCCTCGTCTCGGTGATGTTGATGGAGACCTCGACCTTCTTGGCGATGGGGACCTCGATCTTTGTGTTGATCGCTCCCTGCTGCTCTCCCGCCGCGTTTCCGCAGCTTTAGCGTATACCCCGCGAAGAGTTGACTTTGCGGCTTGTCTTTCCTCTGCAGATGGCCGAATGCGAGGCAAAGGAGTGCGCGAATCTTGCAACCAGGAGGAAGCTGATGGAGGCGTCGGAGGACGAAGCCAGTCCGCTGCACTGCTCGATGCTCCCGCCGCGCCTGAGGCTGCGGCTTGATCCTGAGATGGCACGCCCTGCGGCAAGACCACTCCTGCGGTTTCAACCAATGCGAGACGCTGCTGATAAGCGTTGTCCGCGGCCTGGATCACGTCGAAGGCTTCTTGGTCAAAATTCCACAGGTGCCAACTATCCAGTGACTCACGCCAGGAGAAGAGCGCCTCGACCTGTTGCTTCGAGGCGTCCGCAAATCTGACCCACCGGAATCGTCTGTTCTGCCGCTTGTACTCGTCGACGACGATCTGTTGCAGAGTGTTGTACAATCGGGCACGCGGCCCTTTCCCACCGCGTGTGCCGCGGTGAGGGCCGACTTCCATGTGCGACCAACAGGTCGCAGTCACGGAAGGGTTCGTTTACCCGAAAAGCGTTACGGCTGATAACCACTCAAAGGAGAGGGAAACACAGTTTTGTCAACAACGGGGGAACCCAGGACCTTAAAAGGAACGAACCCCTCCGTGACTGCGACCTCTCCCTTAACCTTGGGGCTAGCGCGGTGCAACGCGCTGTTTTCAGCACTTGAGCCAAAGCAGTGGTTGAATCATGCTTTGGCAACCACTTGAATGTACAACATGCAACTGACTACATGAGAACCTACCTCATGTACCTCTGGGCCATAAATGTCATCGTGATAATTGACTTGATAAAAAGGGATTTAAGACTAAGCAGAGCTCCCAACAGTTCCCTTCAGGCATAACCCCAAAAGAAAACTCAGTTTAACTCGGCCCAGGTGACGTTGAACACCAAGGGGACGTAATCTATGTGCTGCTGCAAAAGCGATGCGATGCGGTGTGAATTATTGGCACTCTGGTGTTCAGCCCTGTCAGTGACTTAGGTTAGGATGCCAAATGCGGTGTTGGAACCCCGCTCAAACACTCCACGCCCTTCTTTTTCCAGAGTTTGGATTCCCTACAACGATTGAAAACAAAGAGATTCGGAACCCGCTGACATCCCTTCTGCGCCGGAGAATTCTTGGCGCCGGGCCTCCAGCAGGGGGCGTGTATAGGTAAGGACCCTCTATTGGGAGTAGCACCATGCCCCATACACGAAATAGGGGCTGGGGCGTTCTGCAACGGGAGGATCCTGCTTTTAGCATGGGGTGTGGGAAATGGCTGCCCCTTTCTGTGAACGGCCAATGCGCGTGATTCTCATCCCTACGAACATCTGATCACTGTAAAGGGGATTCCCAAGTGTATCGCACAAAGCGGCCAAAAGCTCAAGTTGCCAAGCTTTCCTATCCCGCGCTTTCGGAAAAGGCACCCCAAATCCAGAGGTGGCACTAGAAAATGCGGGCGGATTCACACAGAAACCAAGAAACAGAAGTTTAAAAGCTGTTGAAAAGCATTCAAACATCAGGAAGCCGCAGCAACTCCCGAAGCTCGCATCCAAACATATGGCCATGGGTCGAAAGCCCGTACCCCCAGTGAACATCCCAATCCCCACTAAATTAGACTAAAATGGGTGGTGCACCTACCCCAAAATGGTACCATTGGTCTTGACCCAAAGCCATATGTGAAACGAATCAGGTATGTAAACATATGTCCACAACACAAGTAGGTGACCACGAAAAAACACATTGCAAAGTTCGAGGTTCACCCTTCCCAAACCTTGGCATAGTACCCAAATAAACTGTTTGTCTGTTTTGCAGCCTTCTCCCTCTAAAAACGAACAGAACCAAACAACATAATTTTCTTCAGGCCCCCTAAAAACGAGCAGAATTTCAAAGACAACCAACCAACCTTGTTACAGCACCCCGCTAAAAACAAACTCAGAATTCCAAAGACAAACGCGCCAAGACCGCCGAGAGCAGTTGAGTCATCATCAAAACCCGGAACAAAAAAGGTCTACCCAGAACCATGCTTCAAGAATTAAGAAGGCGGATATCCGCAGCTATTTATATGGTTGGGAGTTTCCCTAGCCTTCATCTACCCGGGTTTTGAGCACGTGGCTCACTTCGTGTTTGTCACACCCAGGCCGAGGTGAGGGTCTGCTCCGCGGCGTCGCGGCCGCCCAGCACGTAGACCGCGCCCTGCAGGGCGCAGCAGGCGCTGTGGCTACGGCCCTGCCGCGGCCCGGCGCAGGCGCCAGAAGGCCTGGGGTCGACACCGGGGATGGGAACCCCGTGATCTCAGGAGACAATGCGACGTGGTTCGGTGCTGTCCAGAGTCTCTTTTACAAACTAAGGGGGAGGTATGTGTATACATATTTATATGCATATATACATATATATATATATGCATATGTGTGTATACTTATCTCTCTATATATATATGTGAATGCATACATACATACATATATATATATATATATACATATATATATATGCAAATCACTAGATGCACACTGGCTGGGTATGAGGATGGTTGTGGGCGCCTTTTGGGGACTGATTCACAAGAGCAAAGGTGATCAAACATCTTGCTTGAGCCCATGGTTGTGGAAACATGTTTTTCTGGGTAACTTTCAGCAATACCAAGGGAATCCCCTTGAAAGTATTACAGTAGCGGGATGGCAATCCCATTGAACCGTGTCACGGGGATTTGTCCCACCTGACCGGGGTTTGGATGGGTTTGACGATGCCCCTGACCTTCCAAGGCCTCGAAGATCTGTGTGTCCTGGCAGGGTTTTTGGGGAAGGGGAATTCAAAAGGAAAGCTTGCACCCCACTGCACCCCATAATGTATTTACACATACATCTGTAGATATATATATATATATACATATGTGTATTTTTACATATCTGTATATATACTTATATATATATATATGCAACGGACCCTGGTTTTACTGCCTTTTGGGGATGGCAAATCTAGAATTTCCAAATTTATATTCTCGAAATTTCCAATTGTGGGTCCCCAAAGCGTGATAATTTGGAGCCCGGAGTCCTCCACAATGTCCCAGTATGATACCCTTTGCACATAAGATGTTACTTCAACTAGAATTGGAATTTTGAATATAGTTTAGTATGGATATAGTTTTGAAAAATGTGTTTATGTTCAATTACAGCTTAAACAAGCAAATCCTTTCCAAATAGCAGCTACATGAAAATGTAAATATATATTTTCGGCTAAACTCCAACTAATCTATAACACAAGAAGTTAGATGGAAGTTTTTCCCAAATATAATCCAAGTGGTAAGTATAATCTAAGACGAACACAACTCAAGTTGCTTTTGATAATATCAAGTGAATAGAGACTACATCTCAAATATAATTCATATTAAATATGGCTAAACATTTGGAAATTAAAAATAGGATTTGTGTTGTCTACATTCTGGCCCTTTTGTAGCATAAGAAAGGTCCGACATTGAACTTGTTAGACGGTGTTCCAAAGGGAAATTTCAAGGGAAGAGAGGTTCAAAATCTAAAACTATCTCGAAACAGGGATTCTAGCTAAACCGTTGTATTTAAAGTTCTATTTGCGCAGGAAAGTTAATTCTATGTCACAAGGTGGAGGTAGTAGATGAGCAAATGTGGACAGGTAGTTGAAGAGGGTGGGGGACGGTGTGTGAACGTACATACATACGTATATCTATATATACACATACATACACACATATATAGTACCCCCAATGATCCTGCGCCTCCTCATAAAATACTGGAACATGCCGTATTTTTGAGCGTTGCACCTGCCTTTGTTTACCTCCTGGAAAGGGGTCAACATGAGCATAGCTGACATGAAGCTCACCAAAAGCACTTGAAAGTTTGTCTAACCAATAACTTGAAAGTGTGTCCACTGGATCGCTAAACACTTGAAAATTTGCTACTATCGGATGGAAGATTCAATATTGAAGATTACACAGAACACTTTCCTGAGAATTGTAAATCCTGGCCAAACCCAAATAGCATTAAAGTTCTTCTAACACTTGAAAGTGCTTTACCACTGGATTGGGGATCAATATTGAGGAGCCCACAAACCACCACTTTCCTGAGAATCATCCATCCTGATCAACCCCTAAAATGTTCAAGTTGTTCTATCACCTCGAACATCCGTTACCACTGGATTGAACTATTTCACGGAAAACTTTTCCGAGAATCTTATTGAACACCAAGAGAATTGGGACAACCCTGGAATTTTTAAAACTTTTTAAAAATTATGGGATTCAAGATTCAAGATTCAAGATTCCCAGAACATATTTTCTCAGATTCTTGAATCTTGAATCTTGAATCCAGAATTTTTAATAATTTTTAAAAATTCTGGGATTCAAGATTCAAGATTCAAGATTCCCAGAAAATATGTTCTCACATTCTTGAATCTTGAATCTTGAATCCCATAATTTTTAATAATTGTTAAAAATGTCTGAGTTGTTCTTGTATTCTTGGATGCATTCAAACTCTTTCAGATTGCAGGTGCTGATGTCACTGCTTTTGTCACATCTGTATGCATGCATGCGTATCATATACATGTACGACCCTCCCCCCAATTTTGACACAAATCCAAGAAGCAAAAAGAAGCATAAAACACTGGAAAATACAGGTCAACCGCACCAAACCAGGGTCCATAGGGGGGGGTACCATATATATATATATATATATATGGCGGAGACGGATTCATTTGCTTAATCAGGGCTGCCGTGAGCCTCGGGCCGCAAACTTTCGGGACTTATGGGACAAGCTTCCAGTTTCCCATGCGCTTCACAAAAAGGAAGGGATTTTCAGGGTGACTCTGAAAAACTGGGCGAGGGTGTTCACTTTGGTCTCAAAGTAGGGGACCCTAAAATTTGGTGGCGTTCCTTTTGTGCTCCTGTAAAACCATCCCGAAAGGGTACCCTGAAAAACGACACCCCCATTCGACAGCTGGTTCTACGAACATGCTTTTAAAAGTTTACCAGGCCGTACCATAGCCCAAATCCTGCTAAGTGGAGAAGGCGCAAACATATCATTTCTCTCTAATGAGGGAACCCCCTAACTTGTTCTTGTTTCCTATTCGTTTCCCTTCAAACCACCCAACAAAACAGAGACACCCAAAAAAATACAAGTGAGGCTAAGTGAACCCCACCTGCCCCACGAAGGTCCTCCCCGGTCTCAACCATTTGGTTAAGGTCCCAGGAAAAAATAAAAGTATATATATATATATCTAAATGCTTCCAGTAGTGATGTATTCCTTTTAAACCCAACAAGGGAAGATAAAACATATTCTTAAGCAAATGGAGGGTTTTGGGCCGTGCAGTGGGCGCCAAACGCCGCCCGCCAAACGCCGCCCGCCAGGGCACCAGATCTCCGCCCGGGCCAGCGGCTCGTGCGGCCCGAAGCCGCGGCCCTGGTGACCTCCCACCACCTGACGCGCGCGCGGCCCAAACCGCGCCAGGGGGGAAAGAGAGGTTTGGAGATTCCCGTGTCTCGTTTTTTAGGGAACCCCCCCCAAAAAAAAAAAATGTGTTTTTTTGGGAACCCCCTCCCTCCCCCCCCAAAAGGAAAGAACCGGGTGGTTGCCCTTTGGGTTCTCCGCCCTTTGGGGTGTCTTTCTTTTGAGGGGGACCCTTTTGTGTTGAAGGGAAGAGAAGGAAAATTGCAATCTTAGGGGTTCCCCTACAATCCAACAGAGTCTATGTAAATCTGCGGAGTATCACCTTACCCCAAGTTGGTGGTTTGGCGTGGTTGGGCGTTGGGGCGCGCCTTCCCCTCCAAACCACCAATTCAGGGGTACCCAACGGTAAGGAAAACGATCCAATGCAAGCCAACCAATAGCTCATTTGCCAATCCCCAAAATAATCAGCCAGTTGCTGCAAACAGGGTCCCTAAAAAGGATAAACCTAAAGATCACCTGCTACTTGTAGAAATTTGTGATTGGATGTGATATATTGCAATATGCTCGGTCTAAACTACTAGGGGTTGGAAAGCGGCATCTGTCCATTCCCGTTTGGCTTCGGTTGAAATTACCAATCGGATGCCTAGACACTTCACCAACCTCTGGAACTTTCTTTGTGGGCAATTTGCCTATCTTTCCAGCTACAGTATGCGCCCGAAGCATTGCATGTAGAGGCACCAAATCAAATGATCGCAGCACACTTGGATTTTGTGATGAAATAACAAATGACTGCAACAACCTCATTTGAAATGACTTACTCCCCTGCAAAGCAACATGGAACCCAAAACCATAAATGTTTAGATGATTTCCTTTGGGGGACCCCCTTTTTGGGGCCCGTGATACTCAAGCCTTTGTGGTCAGCCAAGGCGCCAAAACCAACCCCTCGCGGTTGGTTTTGAGCGCGTCGAGCGCAGCCGGGAGCAACTCCCGGAGCCAGCGAGCACAGGTGACGAGGCGCTGCGACGGCCAGTAGCCTGCAGTGCGCAGGTAATGTTGACAGTGTATTAGTAATCCCCCCCCTATTAGTCCGGTCCGGGTGGACCCCCCCAATACTAAACAATCCATATCTCAGAAAATACCCACCAAATAAAAAATGATGCAAAACAACCCCCCCAATTAGACCGGTCCCTCCCCCAGATGGCTGCTGCTATCTCATTTTCCCCACTGCTTCTTGAGCTCATTACAATGTAAACTGTTTTTTGGTGCTAGCTGATGCTGCTGATGTTGACTCGACTCATGCTGCTTGCCATGCTTTCTCTGAATGGTGTGCTGAAAAGGTTCTTTGTCTCAAATGGGCTCATGCTTTCTTCTGGTACTTTCTCTTCATGCTGCTGCCTTGCTTAAGGCTCTCATCCCCACCTCCTACTCTCATCTTGAAGCTTGGTGGATACTTTTGGGCCTGCCCAAACCACAAAACAAAAAGTGTTCTGAGATGGTCGATTTCTTATTAAATTCTTTTCTAAACAAATCAAGTTTAGAAGGTTTCAAAGAGCACCCCACATTGGCCCCTAACACCCCCAATTAATAATCCCCCCTTAATTAGTGCGGTCCATCAGCCCCACCCCCCAAAGGAAGCTCCAGCAATACTAAATCAAATGGAAACTCAATTCCAGATCTCAAAAGGAAGCTCCAGCAATACTAAATCAAAGGGAAACTCAATTCCAGATCTCAAAAGGAAGCTCCAGCAATACTAAATCAAATGGAAACTCAACTCCAGATCTCAAAAGGAAGCCCCAGCAATACCAAATCAATTGGAACCTCAATTCCAGATCTCAAAAGGAACCCCCAGCAATACTAAATCAAAGGGAAACTCAATTCCAGATCTCAAAAGGAAGCCCCAGCAATACTAAATCAAAGGGAAACTCAATTCCAGATCTCAAAAGGAAGCCCCAGCAATACTAAATCAAATGGAAACTCAATTCCAGATCTCAAAAGGAACCCCCAGCAATACTAAATCAAATGGAAACTCAATTCCAGATTATTTAGGGGGTCAAGGCAAAAAACCTTCCAAAATCTTGCCCCCCCAAAGCCTTCCAACCTTCAAGGGGGGGGGGGGGGGGTTACAGACTAATACGGGGTCAACATTACTTGGCTGTGCGTCAAAACCAATGGGATCCCTTTTTGGGGTAGGCGAATTCACCACCCATTTTAGAACCTATTTTAGTGGTAATTGGGATGTTCACTGCGGGATAGCCGGGATTTTGACCCGTGGCCACTTGGAGCAGCCACCAGCCGTCAGGCGTTGAGGCTAGGACTGCAAGTGTAAAAATCACGAACACATGTTGATGCGCCGATAAGCCCCAACCAGATCTACATCCGCGGTATATCCAAATTTGGAGCGGTGATGGGATGAACGGAGCCGGATGGAGTTCACCTCGAGAGGGTCCTAAGAGGGTGTTGAACCTTCCTGTTTGGGAAGCCCCCGGAACCCACTTCTGTGAATCTTTGCGGTTGAGAACCACATCCAAAGCCTGGATCCTCGTACGTGCGCCTTGGACTTCGCGCGGGGCAGCCAAAGGAAGCTAAAGAAGTGGTGTTTGAGCCGGCTGAAAAGGGCAAACCGGACCTCTGCCAAAGCGGGGGTTCCTATATGCATCATGTTTACGTCACTTTACCCAAAGAAAACATTTAATTCGCCTCAAAAGGTGATGCTTGCATAAACAGGCGGAAGGGGAGTCAGAACTGAACAAAATTCAGTCATGATCAATGTGCGCAATCAACAATCTAGCCGCTTGCTGGGCTTTGTCTCAAAATAGGGGTACTCCAAAAAACAGCAGTTTTCCTTTTGGTCCACACACACAAACGCACACCATGGTCTGGGTCTGCCTTTGTTGGGGTAACCCCTGTGGAGGGTTTTATACAGGGGTTCTTATATACCACTTTTTATGGTTTTGGCCCATGAAAGGTGAGTATTTTTTTGTGCGGGTGATGTTTCAAGGGGAAAATCTAGGTCAGCCTCAGCCCTGGCAGAAGGGAAACCGCAGGGCGAACCACCCATTTCGGTTTTTGCGTCGCCTGCGCAGCGGCAGATCGCAGGGAAGCCAATGGCCAGGGCTTCATCCAGCGACATATCTCGCCATGAGCCGCTGACTCGCGACGCGCGCCTCAAAAGGATTTGCGTTGAACAAACACAATACCCATATATATATATATGCATCCATGTATGAAATCGGGGGGATCCCCCAAGATGGTGTGGTTTCCTTTGGTTTGCTCTACACCCAGTTGCTAAGGGGAGCATCAAATAACATTTCACACCCATATGTAGACATGTATATATTTGTGCATGCAAATTATTATGTTGTTCCTGCATTGGACGAAGGAAAACCTTGCTGTTCGACGCCTCATGCATCGTCCGTGTTGAGGCATGACATATTGTTGACTGAAGCGCTGCTTCAAGCCAGAGACGGACACGGAATCAGTCAACGAATTGCAGGACATGACCTTAGGCCCAGCCCAACTCAGCTCGAAATTTGGGGATCCTGATTTGCCGGATTCGCAAGCCGCGCAACACAAGGAAAACCACGGAACCCATCTAGCATGTAAGAAACAATCCAGCAATTCTCCAGGAAGTTCGGCGAGATGGTTTCTTAGACAGGATTACGAACCCAGCCCATCGTCTCAGTTGCCCTTTAGGGACCACAAATTTGAAGGTCACTTTGTGCGGCCACGAACAATGGGAACCCAAGAAGGGGAAACCAAAGGTCAAATCAAAAGGGCGATTTGCTTTGGGCCTTGGTGAGTCTTTCATAAGAAGCCACAACCGGCAGCCGTAGCTTCAAGTGGCTGCAGCCTGAGTCACATGAAAAGCCAGAAGACATGCACCCTCAGGAACAAAAACAAAGACTTTGGCTGCATTTGCACGATCTGGCAATGAAACTTTTCATTGTCTCTTGTTTGGCCTGTGCCACTCATACACAAATACAGTGGCCAGGCGGTGATGCCTAAAACGAACTAACCAATGCAAATGATTCGTTATGGTCAACTTCACCCCCACCCTAACCAAGCAGAACAGCCAACATGCTCCAGCTGACGGAAGCTATGGCGGCCTGAGATCGGTTTCCCCCTCGCAAACTTGGGGCGCAAGGTTGCGTGGCCCTCCAAGCGGGTACTGTGGATGCACGAATTCCTGCACCACTTTGAAACCATGGTTGAAACCGTTGTTTGTTGGTATTTACAGGGGGATCATCATTCTAGGGTTTCTTGGGTGGTGCAGGATTTCGTTCATCCACAGTAGTGACTGCCATCACTTCGCCGAACTCGAAGGTGCAGGAAGAAGCTCGAAACCCCGTGAGAGTGTGTTCCATACTCTTCTTACGAAATCCGCTCTTAGGCACCACCGACGGACCGTTTTAAGACACCCAACAGCATGATTCGATTCCCTTGTAGATACCAATGAACAATGGTTTCAACCGTGGTGAATTCGTGCATCAACAGTATTTTGTCAACCTTGCAACATTGTCAGGTAATTTGCCAGGCGTTTCAGAGCATATTTGGGTAAACAAAACCCAGTCGCCACACTCAACAGCGCAAATGGGGGAATTAATTTTGACACGGAAACCAACAAAAAGGCTCAACCAAATGATGTCCATGAGACAACCCGCCGAAAACAATCCAAACGGCCTTCAACATGGAACCCAACTAGGTGCGAACGGACAGGTTCCACGCCCGTGGAGAGACTGGGATCCACCAAGTTCGATACCCCGCCATAAATAATAATATTAAAAAACAGGGGGAACAAAAAAAAACGGCATGGGCCAGGCGCGGTCGCAAAAATGGCTGAGGAGCCAGCTAATCTCGCCCATGCCTTGGATTCAAGGGCGGACTTTCTCTGGGCCCGTTTTCGGATCCCCCGCGAAAAGTGACGAACTTCTAGTGGGATAAATTCGGACACTACCTAAACGCTAAAAGGCGGTTAAAGGCTAAGGGGACGGGTGGGGGCTACCAAGTTCTGTAGCCCTCATGAAGAATCACACTGTGGATGTTCAGAATTCGCTTCGCACCAGTTGGGAGGGATGAAACCAACAATGCTAGGATACACCACTTCATTTTCGAGGATAAGCCACTAAAAAAATATCGACTGGTGCTGGATTTTGTCCATCCATGGTAGGGCCTTCCAGTAGAGGGGTCACAACGTGCTACGTCCCAACCTTCGGCAAGGCAAATGCATTGCCTTCATGCGTCCACTGGGTTGATGCAAAGCAGGCACGGGCTGGTAGAGATGTGCGTGTGTGACTTGAAGCGAAACTGGCGGGGGTTAACTCGAGGCATGCCTTGCATGTGAAGCACCGCTGCTTCTCCCTAATGTTGAACCCAGATTAATCAACCTTTGTTTATAAATAGGGGTGTGTCCCTGGGTTTAGTGGGAAATCATCACTTTGGAGGGGACACCCCCATATTAATAAACAATTCATAGGGGGTCCACATTATACGTGCAGCTCAACCTGGAACCAAACAAGGGGGGTCTCGCTAAGGAGACCCCGGACTCGCAGCTATCACTTGGGCCAACAATCCAGCGCATGACTCATGAATGTTGACATTGCCTGGCCTCAGCTTGGGCGAACCAACAAAACACTCCCTGGATGATAAAGCTTCACACCCATGCCTTAGTCCCCAGTGCCTAGGTAGAAGAAATGCTATGCTTTGCACTGATTTCTTTGAAGGTCTGTGCATCCCTCCCTAGCTCGCTAATCGGGCACGCGAATCGGGAAAGCCGAAAGCAGCTATCATGAATCATCTCCCTGGGCAAGGATTTCTGCAGCTTGGGCCTCGGCTCTTAAAGCGCTGCACCCGCAAGGACGACTCGCCTGCGGAAAACCGAAAACCAAGCGGAATCCGATGGGAATGCGATTTTTCAGTCATGGACCGCCATAAACTAGGAATTCTGGAAGAGCTTCCCTTTTGGCTGGTTTCTAGAAAAACATCTGGGGTCCGAGGATGCATCCAAAAACCCCTGCTTTGCCAGGAAACCCTCCCAAACCTTCTCGGGTGGTTGGCCTTCCACCGTGTTGGACACGGCTGGGGGGAGGGGGGCCTGGTTGGTTCACCGCAAATTAAGTTCAGATCCCCGAGCCACTCCCGTCTTTTTTTTGGGGGGTCCCTTCTTGGGATTGGTTCAAAGGGAAACCTGAGTCCGGGTCAGAAAGGTACGTGTTCCTCTGATTCATCTGAGCGGCCAAGCTTCTTTTTGGGGAATGAATCTAGGGATCAATTCTATGGGAGGCTAGTGACTGCAGCATTCACCTTTGTGAGCAAGGGATCATGAAATCAAACTAGAAATGGTTCAGTTCGAGGTACCTCCCTAGTCCGAGAATCACCCTGCTAAGGCAGCCAATCGATCGTTTCCCTCAGCTCGGCCACGAGCCGGGAGGCTTGGGGAAGCACGCAATCCTGTCGTCCTGAAGGGGGACTAGGTGCTAACCGTTGGCTTCCGCATCAGGGCCCAATAAAGCATGCGACTACAATTCGTCTGGTACATGTCACAAGCCCTTGAACCAGCTAGGTGACCCTTCATGCAGGCCAAACTGTATCTAAACTAAGGCACCTTGGTTCATCAGCAGAGTTTAAAAAAAAAAAACAACGCAACGGCCCGTGGAGTTCCACAAGACTTGGTCAGCTCGTTTGTTTCGCGTTCGAATTTACCAAGCCTATCTTGGTTGTTTGTTTGCTGGTTGATTTTGAAGGGCCCACCCCCTCCAAAGTCGAAGGACAACTCCGGGAAACGGGAAGCTTCCTTGCGCCTGCGCGACCTCTGGAGATGTCATGGGGCAGCTCCAAGGTGGAGGGCCGACGCTCTTCAGAACCTGCCGACAAGAAGCCAAGAAGACGGCTCGGTACTGGTTCACGGTAAACGTCCAGTCCAAAATTCAGGAAACTTGCTGTTTAGAGGGGCCCGAAGGTTCAAGAATGACATAAACCTTGCATAACCTTGGCTTGATGAACCGCATCTGGAAAGCATTGAAGATATGGGCCAGAGCCAAGGGGTGGCTGGTAGAGTTTCTTTACGGCCAAAACGTATGTGTTGCCCGCGACCGCCCGAAAGCGGGTCCCCGAGACCTCCGAAAAGCGGGGCAGGCTCAGCAAAAACGCACTTCCGAGCCCCCTGGGCCCCACCCCAGCTCCATGTTTCATACTCCCTTTATGGAGCGTGGCGACTTTTCCTAGTTATATACTGCTACAACCCTTAAACTAAACCAGAAAAGCCAGCCTCGGATGCGCCGGACAGCCAGCTCCAAGCAAACCTAACCCTAGAAACCCTAAACCTAAACCCTAAACCTAAACCCTAAACACCCTAAACCTAAACCCTAAAAACCCTAAACCTAAGCCCTAAAAACCTTAAACACCCTAAACCTAAACCCCAAAAACCCTAAACCTAAGCCCTAAAAACCTAAACCCTAAAACCCCTAAACCTAAACCCTAACAACCCAAAACCTAAACCGTACAAACCTTAAACCTAAACCCTAAAAACCCCAAACCGAAACCATAAAAACTTTAAACCTAAACCCTAAACCTGCCAGCACGATCATACGGCATAATAAGACCTTGTGGGCGACACGTATGTCTTGTGGGTTTCTTTATCATGACTTTGGTTGCAAGCAAAACCAGTTCAACCACCACTCGTATGCCAACGACCCCCACACAAGGGTAAGTTGCTGCTGCTTCTGCTGCTGTGCTGCGCTTTCCAGACTCCGGGCGCCCAGGCCAAAGTCTCCTGCCACCAAATGCGAGGATCGGGCCCTCTGCTTCAAGCCTGGCAGGGCGAAAGGATTGACCGGAATTTGGGTTGGGGGGGCCCTATGGAAACCTAGACCAAAGCGTTTAAGCAACAAGGGGTACCTCAGGGAGCCAATTCCCACTTCCACTTTCCACCCTCATAAAAACTGGGGGGGGCAGAGGGGGGAGGGAGCCCAAATATGGCTTATTTGGGCTCCCTCCGCCCCTCCTCCTCCCTCCCCCCAGCCCCCATGACACCCGTCCCTTGCGCCCACTGCTCCCCGCCTGGTGACTTAGCCTCACTCTTGGGTTCCTGGAGCCGCGCGGAGAACTACAGGACTCGGGTCACCCTTGAAAGCCACATGCAAACATAAAGGGCATCACTATACATGGGCGTGCCCCCAAGTTATTCCCCTGTAAGCTGGTCTACGAATGAATCAATGAATGAATGAATGAATGAATGAATGAATGAATGAATGAATGAATGAATGAATGAATGAATGAATGAGTGAGTGAGTGAGTGAATGAATGAATGAATGAATGAATGAATGAGTGAGTGAGTGAATGAATGAATGAATGAAGGAATGCATGCATGCACGCATGAATTAATGAATGAATCGATGGATGAACGAATG